AATATGATTTCCCATTAAGGTTCTGAGCTTCAGTATTTCTGCCTGCTGTTGTTTTATAAACCACCTGATGGGAGACATTTCAAAATAAAAGCATCTGAGCCAACAGATGGGACCTGAGGGATAAATCTGGACTCCTACCTGCGTCTCCTCGTCACTCTCCTCGTCTGACTGCGTGGGTGGAGCCGTGACCTTTGCCCTCTGCGTCTTGCTCTGGGTCAGAGTCTGAATGGTGTGTTGGAGCTGCTGCAGCGCCCCCTGCTGCCACTGAGCAAACAGCTCCAGCAGACGGGTCGAAACCTAGAGACACCAGAAAGAAGCGGGTCAGAACCGCTGACATCCAGGCTTCTGGAATGTTCCGCTGGTTCTCCTACCTGAGGTAAGCTGCCATCTTCCACCACCGTGTTGAACTCCTGATCCAGGAGCTGCGACAGGAAGTCCTCCACCTCCCAGCGCTGCAGGTCAGCTGCCCCCACCAACACAAACAGGTTAGCCGTCTGAATGATTTAAAGGCTTTAAACAGGAAGACATCATCAGCTGTCACCATGGAAACCTACCGTTGTCATGGAAATACTGCTGGACTACATCCACCATCCAATCAGCTTTCTGCTGGCCGTACACGCCTCCAAATCCGTTGTCCACGGCGATCTGAGGGACGGATGGTCAGAGAAACTTTAGATGGAGAGAGGAAGAGGAGGATGGAGAGAGGAAGGAAGGATGAAGGAATAAGGAAGAGAAGGAAGGAGAGAGGGAGAGGAAGGGAGAGAGGAAGAGGAGGATGGAGAGAGGAAGAGGAGGATGGAGAGAGGAAGAGGAGGAAGTAGAGGACGTTGTGGAGTAAAAATGTTGAGGTTTGTCTGTTCTCAGCCTCCCAGGCTCCAAACGAAGGTCCTGAGATCAGAATGAGTCTCAGCCTCATTCATGGGATGAAGGGGGGGGGGGCTGTTATTATGAGATCCATCTGACCAGAGAGAAGAAAATTAACCTGACAGGGAACGGCCTTCATGAACTAAAGTTGAATTTTCCTCCAAATGTTGCCTCAGTCAGAGCTCTATCTTTCCATATGAGGACGTTAAATAAATTTGAACTTTCTTTTTTTGTAAAAAAAAAAAAAAAATGCTTCAGCTTCCTAACGTCACAGCAGCCTCCCCAGCATCCAGGTCAGAGCGTCTGTAGTAGATCCATCAGAACTCCTGATTTTACTTCAAACTGAACAAAGTCAGTTAGTTTCAGCTTAAAGGTGCAGTGGAGGATTTTCATGAATTTTTTAAAAGACCCGCCCTCTCCACTTTAAAAAGAACGACCCTGTACCCTCCTCTTCCTCCAACAGATTCTATCAAATAGCTAAAATATTTTATTTCCATCATAACTTTGTCAAATAATGATCAAATGTCACCAAATCCACAGAGTTTGTTGTTAATGAAGAAAGAAATAAAAAGACCTGCAGGTGAATTCATTTCCTCCATGTTATGGAGCGGGATTATTATGTGATAGCATGGAGGATACTAGAAACTGCTTTAATCCAGTAATCTGTCATATTCTACATTAGAACGGGATTTAACAGAAAGTCTCCTCTTCACCCTCAGGATCCCTGATCTAGAATCCTAGATCCGCCCCTGCCTAATAGTGAGGAGCATCACCTGCTTTCTCTGTTTCTACACCTGATTAAACTCAGCAAATACAGACAGTATGGAGAGAAACTGGATTCTACACCTGATTTATGATGTTTAAATATTAATACATGTTTATAAATAGATGAAAGCACCGCTGCTTCCTGTTTTAACTTTGATGATAATTATTTATTTTATCTATGAGCGGAAAATGTTCTCAGATTGGATTTAGAAATCTGCTGAACTCTGAGCCTGAAGTTCTACTGGATCTTTTTAAGGTTCGGAGGATCTACAGCTTAAACCAACCCAGAACCTGGACCTGAACCAGGACCTGGACCTGAACCTGGACCAGAACCAGAACCTGGACCTGAACCAGGACCAGTGTTCTGATGGTTCTGGGGGAAGAAGTACCCAAATGCAGCTGTTAGCATTAGCTGGGAACTTTAGCTCACAGATCGCGTGCTCTGGCTGAACCTCTTTATCCCCCAGACCCGGGTCCGAACCCGGAACCGGACCCGGAAGCTGACCCGGACATGGTGGCTCACCTGTAGAACCGGCCACGTTTGAAGAACCGCTCGGACTCCCTCCGTGAAGAGTTCACGTGACGCCTTGGAGGCCGCCATCTTGGATCTGACGTCGTCTTGATTCGTGACGTCATTTGCTTGAAGCCGCAGAACTATGGAGTATGGCAGGCCGATATATCATAAAATCAACTTCTTCTGACTATCCGCAAACAGTCAGAAAGCAAAGAAACTTTTATGAAGAGGGAAAAAAAGTGTGAATATCATGAATAATAATTTAATATATCTGAAATTATATTATGATCAATCACATTTTGTCAAAATGCATTTTGAGATATCTCTAATGATGTCACCTGATTCGTCATTGCAAGAGTCAAACATCCAGAATTACAAACCAAATATCGAAACCATAATCCCTCAATTCAAAATGATATTTTTAGATATCCGAATGAGGAACTAGCCCCCTGGTGCTGTCACTGAGCTGTCCAAACAGTTGCCTGCAGAATTCTGGGCGGCTGCAATGGCGTTGGCTCTTCTTGAAATAGTTGTTTCAAAATCCAGCAATACAGAAAAAACTCGGCAGGATTTAATGCAGAGAACAAGAACTACGCAGTGAATTTCTCCACTGTGAGATGAATAAAATCAATCAATCAATAGGTTCCCCGCAGTCAGAGAATTTCCAGTCTCTCTCACAGGCTAGCTAAAGGTGCCCAAAGTGAAAATCAGAATCAGAAATACTTTTGTTACATTCTCTAGTTACAGTTTTACATGATATAAATAGAAAATGCAGCATTTTCTGAAATTCTGAACCGGTTGGAGCTGCAGCAATAAAGGTCATTTTAAAAACCGGAGAATCCATGTTGGACCTTTCATCGTAGACCGCTGACTGGAAAACACCAGAAAGGCTAAGACGCCTTTCTAACTTTCCGCCATAAATGCTACGTCATTTTTACGAGTCAGAATGATAATTAAAGATATCTGAAATACAAAGTCTGTCTTAATTTAAAAAATGTTCAAGATATCTCTATTTTTGAGATATCTTCAAAGGAATATTGACTTCAAAAATACAATCCTAGATATCTATAATGTTGATTTGCTTAATCCTTATTTGCTTTCAAGATATCTGCAATTGAATTCCCACTAGTCCAATCCTGCTTTAAGATATCTTAAAATACATTCAAGGTATCTTGAATAAGAAGGTTATTTGAGATATCTTTAATTTGATTTATGACTTGTCAGAACATAAAGCGAGATATCATATCTCAAATTGAATTTATGAATAGTCATAATTCAATTGTTGATATCTGAAATATACCTTTCAGATAGTCAGTAATGTTTTGCAGATACTTTAAACTGGAGACTCCATACAAATGGATGGAAAATCTGACGTCATTCCGACTAGTCAGAATTGAATTAGAGATATCTGAAATTAGAACTTTGCTTAGTCTAAAAATTAATAACGGATATCATAATTAACTACTACATCTAGTCAAAAATCGATTCAAGATATCCTGAACATGAAGTGTGGTAAAGCTGAATTTATGATAAACCGGCATGCCATAAAGCCATAGCTGATCTAGATCCGGTCCCAAACCTGTTTAAGTGATCCAGTGTCAGTAGTACGGGGTGGAAGTGAAGCCACCGGTCGCCATATTGGTACTCCCTAGTTAGATCAATATCACTGTAAACAATCTGTGAGCTACAGCATCGAACAACGATGATGTTCTCATTTTCAGGGGGACTTATGAGTAAAAAAAAAAAAAAAAAAAAAAAAAAAAAAGATAAATTCATCACTGGGACACAGACTGGCTGTTTCATAGCATCAGTAGATTAACTTTAACTTATAAAAAAAATAGGTCCATCACATTGCATAGTCAATATGAAGTCAATGAAGTCTATAAATAATGTAATATAACATATTATACAAATTCATCACAATAAAATTAATGTGTTAATAGAGCAGAATAATACAGATGAGCCAAAAGTGATCAATTGATGATGTTCATGTAATATACATGGATTTATTACACTGTTAAAGGATTGCAAAATGTTTCCAACTTATTCAATCANGTCAGAATTGAATTAGAGATATCTGAAATTAGAACTTTGCTTAGTCTAAAAATTAATAACGGATATCATAATTAACTACTACATCTAGTCAAAAATCGATTCAAGATATCCTGAACATGAAGTGTGGTAAAGCTGAATTTATGATAAACCGGCATGCCATAAAGCCATAGCTGATCTAGATCCGGTCCCAAACCTGTTTAAGTGATCCAGTGTCAGTAGTACGGGGTGGAAGTGAAGCCACCGGTCGCCATATTGGTACTCCCTAGTTAGATCAATATCACTGTAAACAATCTGTGAGCTACAGCATCGAACAACGATGATGTTCTCATTTTCAGGGGGACTTATGAGTAAAAAAAAAAAAAAAAAAAAAAAAAAAAAAGATAAATTCATCACTGGGACACAGACTGGCTGTTTCATAGCATCAGTAGATTAACTTTAACTTATAAAAAAAATAGGTCCATCACATTGCATAGTCAATATGAAGTCAATGAAGTCTATAAATAATGTAATATAACATATTATACAAATTCATCACAATAAAATTAATGTGTTAATAGAGCAGAATAATACAGATGAGCCAAAAGTGATCAATTGATGATGTTCATGTAATATACATGGATTTATTACACTGTTAAAGGATTGCAAAATGTTTCCAACTTATTCAATCAAATAAGAGAACAATACCTGTAAAAAAAAATACAAGCTTGTTTTAACTTCACAAAATAACGATAAATAAGAATGAAATGTTTGATCATTGATCAGATCTCTGTAGTTCCTGCTGTCAGCCAGCAGAGGGCGACAGATACCTGCGCTGGAAAAAATCCCGTTAAAGCCCGTTTCAATCATATTCAGGTGACATTCATGACGTTTATAGATGTGAAACTGTTTTTTGTACAATCAGTGATGACGCCTCCCAGTCCCCAACATCCAGCCACTGCAGTGACCCCATCTTGCATATTTTTTTTACTGAATCCAACCTTTCACTGAATTACAGGGTCTGACCAGGAGATGGCGCTGCTCTTTAGATCTTAATGTCCACAAATCATGACAGAAAGAATATTTTAGTACAAAGATTGATGTTTAAAAAGGAATCTCAGGAGTCCAGCCAAGGATGAACGAAAGACCCATCAAGGAAAGTGGGGATATTTTGAATGACTATTACTGTATCATTTTCTACTGCATGCTATGCTAACATCTATGACGATGCTAGCGTGAGCGGCTAACTTCCATCGAGCTACTGAACTCCATGTGTCACCATTGCGATTTGAAATGGAGTTGTCAGAACTTTGTTACTACATGGCTCTGGTTCTGTTTATTACCCTGACCCTCCCGGTTGCCAGAGTCCAGTCCCGAAGCAGGATGGTCCACTTATCCCAGAACCGGTTTCACTCCAGCATAAACTCTTAGGTTCATGGTTCTAGTTTCTGATGTAAACAGAACCAGTAAATCGCTTCAATTCAATCCAAACACTAAAAACCAATCATGAGGACTAATAGAGCCATATCTTAGAGTTTTTGTGTTTATTTTCCTGCTTGCTGTAATTCCTAAAATTGACAGTGGGTGGCGTCATCTGTTTTAAATGGAGTCACAGGTAGTCGCTTGGCAGGTGTGCTGATTGTGGCGGAAAGAAACGGACCGTCGTCATTAGTTGTCGTAGGTTTTTGTTATTGATATTGGTTCTAAGCCAGTGGGCAACGTTAAAATTAGCATTTTTCTGAAGCGTTCTGCGAGCCAGGAACCTGAAGTTTTATTCATTGAAAGCAAGAAGACGATGCGTGAACTGCATGCCAGTCAGCAGCCTCACCATGGCTTAGGGTTGTTCGTTTAGTCAAGAACTCACTCCAAGAACATTTGATAAAATCACGTTTATTGACAGGGAGAATGACAGAGGATGTTACAGGTTCTGGTTCTGCTGACTGGGATTCTGTATCTGGAGGAAGAAGGAACCAAATAATGAAGAGTTGATGTTTGAGACGTTCTGCTGAGCTTCAGGATGTGATCTCTGGTTGTCAGGAGACAGGGAGGACATGTTGGACCAGAGCTGCTGAACTTCCTGTTGAACAGGAAACACATTAATTAGAAACATCTGCATCGTCCTATCAGCTGCTGTTTGACTTCTGGGTTCCACCTCCTCAACTCTCAAATGGAACAGATGCCTTCTGCGGCTGACCAGCAGAGGGCAGCGTTACAGTGAATGTGAGATGAGCTCTGAGGCGCCATCTGCTGGTCAGACTTCAGCATCACGGTTCAAGAAGCCAAAAAAAGCTGCATCCAGAAACGCAACAACGTCTGAAAGGGTGTGAAGGAAGTCATTTATGTTAACAGAGAAAAATCTATTTTTCAATTTGCATGTTTCTAAGTCAAAACGAGGCTTTTTTGGGCTAATCTATAAAACCTGGAACTAAACGCTATTTCTGACATTTTGAATTGAAAAATCTTCCTGGATGGAAGAGAAACGTCTTCAAAATTGGAAACAAAGTCCAATGGATTGATTTGAACTTTTTTGGAAGAAGGAGCATCTATAGCTAACCTGATAAGCCCCCCAAACACCAGAAGCCACGCCCATTTACATGTTTATTTTCCAGATGTTTTACATCTTTTTTTTAGAAGGCAGCCTGTTCTCCACACAGAACCTTCTCTTTAGAATAGAACCTTGGGTCCCATCCTGGACCAGAACCCGCAGTGAACGGACCTGCTGCTGGAGCAGAGTGTCTGGATGGAGGTTCTGTACCTTCGATGGTTGGATCACTGGCTTCTGTCGGGTTCGATCTTGGTGTCTCCGTTCTGGTTGTCCGTCCGCGTCGCTGCCTGGACCACAGCCTGCGGAGCAGCAAGTCGACAATTAACCTGCAGAACCTTGATGAACGGCCTCTAGAAGAACCGGAGCAGAACTCTGAGGTCTCACCTTGAAGCTCCTCTTCCTCTTCTGGACGTTCTGCTCTGGATGGAAGATGATGACGTAAACTTTGGGCATGTACAGCATTCCCAGGGAGACGGAAGCACTCATGGACATGGAGACGGTCAGAGTGGCCGTCTGGATGAACATCTGTGGAGACGGAGACCAAACTGAACCCAAGTGACAGAACCGACTGAAAGGAGCATTTAAAACAGACCACGAAGAGACAATATTATATCTCTGATGGCATCAAAAACATAAATAATGTGCACAAATAAGGAATAGTTGTATTAATCATACATGGAAACAGAGTTTTATGGGGCCCCCAGAAACTTGACTAGAATTTTTGTAATGGTAAATTTCAGAAAAAACAGGAAAAAAATAAATAAGTAAATTTTAATACAGTACAGATAAAAATAAAACTAGTTAAAATTTTAGACATAACAACATTCACACAATCAAATCAATAAAATTGAGTAAAAGATAAAAGAATAAGATAAATCTCACTGTCTTGCTAGGTGTTAAAATCCAAAGAGAAAAGGTGGGTTTTGACCAGAGATTTAGAAACAGTGAGAGAAGAGGCTGAGTGACATGAAGAGGCGGGTCGTTCTGGAGCTTTGGGGCTGCAGCAGAGAAAGCTTGGTTCCCTCTGAGCTTCTGATGTCCATATTTCATCTAAACATCGTCGCTGGAGAAGAAGATGCAGTTTAGCTCATAAAACAGCTTTGAGACTTTTCCTCTTGCTCTGCTCCCCCTATCAGCCACAGGCTCCACAGGACCCCTCCCATACAGGTGTGCCTTGGCCCCACCACAGAGCAGAAAACCACAGCAGAGAGGATTTCAATCTGTTTCTGTGAAGCTGCCCGGGGGGGTTCACATGGGAAGAGGCCCAGATCTCCATGTTGACCAAGGCTAAGTCATGATGGTTGACTTTTCAGAACCAAACTGCTGTAAAACAGACCGTTTGCAACACATTTCTCTGAGTTTCAGAACTTGTGACGGGAGGGGAAAGTCTCCTGAAGGACCCGTTTGCTTGGCGTGAGCCGCATGGGACAAAGAACCCCCCCCCCCCTTTGCTGTGAGAACTGCCTTGCTAAGCTGCTGCTAGATGAAAACTCAAACTTTCCAAAATGGACAGGAACAGGGATGTAAGGTCTGACACGGTTAGGGACAGATTCTAATTAAACATTATGTCTTTAGATGATTTTGATAATTTCAAGTGTTTACTGATGAGTAAAGTCAAAGCTAACAGGATGGACCGCATGCTACGCTAAGCTACAGGAATATGTTTTGAGCTGTTGTTGAAACTTGGACAAGCTTTATTTCACTAAGGGTTTAAACACTGATATAACATTAGTGTTCATGTGTTCCTCAGATGCTCATTACATTTCAGTTACCAGATTATTACCAAAAGTAATTTAATAAAATCCTCATGTCTATTCGCTGCTAGCTATTTCAAAGACGGTAAAGAAATATATGATTAAAGGTTATTGGTTCCAAATAATTAAATAAAACTTTATTTGGCCAAATAATGTTTTATTCACCTCATTGGTTTACATTGTGAATTGGTTTGAAAACATTCCAATTTCTCTAAATTAGTGAAAAGCTAATTTGATCAAATCGCAAATTGTTTAATGTAAATTTAAATCCATCTTAAACAGTAATGTGGTTTTTAACCATGTTTTCCCACTTTGCACATAGTAGCTTAGTGTAGTTTAGTTTCTCTAGATTTAGTCAAGAGTTTTTATCTTAAATATGTTTGACTTGGAACTGAATGATTTTTGTTAATAAATTCTTATGTTTTAAACAGAAGTTGTGGTGAATTTATTCCATGTGCAGAATTAACTGTTTAACCATAATTAGAGCTCAAATCACTCTTTAATTTGCTGTTCTGACACACAGCCAGTAGGGGGCGTGTTCATAGACAATATTAACCTGACTCTGCCAGATGGATTTGCTCTGCATATCCATCTGGAANTTAAAACACAATGTTACGAATGAGCGAGCTGCCTGTGGTAAGATGGCCGCCACGTGCGGACGTCGACCCCCATTGGCCAGCAGCGCGGACGAGACATCTAGCCTTTATTATGGATATCTATGGTCAGTAGTACGGGGTGGAATTGAAGCCACCGGTCGCCATATTGGTACTCCCTAGTTAGATCAATATCACTGCAAACAATCTGTGAGCTACAGCGTCGAACAACGATGATGTTCTCATTTTCAGGGGGACTTATGAGTAAAAAAAAAAAATAAAGATAAATTCATCACTGGGACACAGACTGGATGTTTCATAGCATCAGTAGATTAACTTTAACTTATAAAAAAAGTAGGTCAATATATATATATCATAGTATTTATGAAGTCAATGAAATCTATAAATAATGTCATATAACATATTATACAAATTCATCATTGTAAAATCTATGTGTTAATGGAGCAGAATAGTTGAGCCAAAAGTGATCAATTGATGATGTTCATGTAATATACATGGATTTATTACACTGTTAAAGGATTGCAAAATGTTTCCAACTTATTCAATCAAATAAGAGAACAATACCTGTAAAAAAAAATACAAGCTTGTTTTAACTTCACAAAATAACGATAAATAAGAATGAAATGTTTGATCATTGATCAGATCTCTGTAGTTCCTGCTGTCAGCCTGCAGAGGGCGACAGATACCTGCGCTGGAAATAATCCCGTTAAAGCCTGTTTCAATCATATTCAGGTGACATACACGACGTTTATAGATGTGAAACTGTTTTTTGTACAATCAGTGATGACGCCTCCCAGTCCCCAACTTCCAGCAACTGCAGTGACCCCATCTTGCATATTTTTTTTACTGAATCCAACCTTTCACTGAATTACAGGGTCTGACCAGGAGATGGCGCTGCTCTTTAGATCTTAATGTCCACAAATCATGACAGAAAGAATATTTTAGTACAAAGATTGATGTTTAAAAAGGAATCTCAGGAGTCCAGCCAAGGATGAACGAAAGACCCATCAAGGAAAGTGGGGATATTTTGAATGACTATTACTGTATCATTTTCTACTGCATGCTATGCTAACATCTATGACGATGCTAGCGTGAGCGGCTAACTTCCATCGAGCTACTGAACTCCATGTGTCACCATTGCGATTTGAAATGGAGTTGTCAGAACTTTGTTACTACATGGCTCTGGTTCTGTTTATTACCCTGACCCTCCCGGTTGCCAGAGTCCAGTCCCGAAGCAGGATGGTCCACTTATCCCAGAACCGGTTTCACTCCAGCATAAACTCTTAGGTTCATGGTTCTAGTTTCTGATGTAAACAGAACCAGTAAATCGCTTCAATTCAATCCAAACACTAAAAACCAATCATGAGGACTAATAGAGCCATATCTTAGAGTTTTTGTGTTTATTTTCCTGCTTGCTGTAATTCCTAAAATTGACAGTGGGTGGCGTCATCTGTTTTAAATGGAGTCACAGGTAGTCGCTTGGCAGGTGTGCTGATTGTGGCGGAAAGAAACGGACCGTCGTCATTAGTTGTCGTAGGTTTTTGTTATTGATATTGGTTCTAAGCCAGTGGGCAACGTTAAAATTAGCATTTTTCTGAAGCGTTCTGCGAGCCAGGAACCTGAAGTTTTATTCATTGAAAGCAAGAAGACGATGCGTGAACTGCATGCCAGTCAGCAGCCTCACCATGGCTTAGGGTTGTTCGTTTAGTCAAGAACTCACTCCAAGAACATTTGATAAAATCACGTTTATTGACAGGGAGAATGACAGAGGATGTTACAGGTTCTGGTTCTGCTGACTGGGATTCTGTATCTGGAGGAAGAAGGAACCAAATAATGAAGAGTTGATGTTTGAGACGTTCTGCTGAGCTTCAGGATGTGATCTCTGGTTGTCAGGAGACAGGGAGGACATGTTGGACCAGAGCTGCTGAACTTCCTGTTGAACAGGAAACACATTAATTAGAAACATCTGCATCGTCCTATCAGCTGCTGTTTGACTTCTGGGTTCCACCTCCTCAACTCTCAAATGGAACAGATGCCTTCTGCGGCTGACCAGCAGAGGGCAGCGTTACAGTGAATGTGAGATGAGCTCTGAGGCGCCATCTGCTGGTCAGACTTCAGCATCACGGTTCAAGAAGCCAAAAAAAGCTGCATCCAGAAACGCAACAACGTCTGAAAGGGTGTGAAGGAAGTCATTTATGTTAACAGAGAAAAATCTATTTTTCAATTTGCATGTTTCTAAGTCAAAACGAGGCTTTTTTGGGCTAATCTATAAAACCTGGAACTAAACGCTATTTCTGACATTTTGAATTGAAAAATCTTCCTGGATGGAAGAGAAACGTCTTCAAAATTGGAAACAAAGTCCAATGGATTGATTTGAACTTTTTTGGAAGAAGGAGCATCTATAGCTAACCTGATAAGCCCCCCAAACACCAGAAGCCACGCCCATTTACATGTTTATTTTCCAGATGTTTTACATCTTTTTTTTAGAAGGCAGCCTGTTCTCCACACAGAACCTTCTCTTTAGAATAGAACCTTGGGTCCCATCCTGGACCAGAACCCGCAGTGAACGGACCTGCTGCTGGAGCAGAGTGTCTGGATGGAGGTTCTGTACCTTCGATGGTTGGATCACTGGCTTCTGTCGGGTTCGATCTTGGTGTCTCCGTTCTGGTTGTCCGTCCGCGTCGCTGCCTGGACCACAGCCTGCGGAGCAGCAAGTCGACAATTAACCTGCAGAACCTTGATGAACGGCCTCTAGAAGAACCGGAGCAGAACTCTGAGGTCTCACCTTGAAGCTCCTCTTCCTCTTCTGGACGTTCTGCTCTGGATGGAAGATGATGACGTAAACTTTGGGCATGTACAGCATTCCCAGGGAGACGGAAGCACTCATGGACATGGAGACGGTCAGAGTGGCCGTCTGGATGAACATCTGTGGAGACGGAGACCAAACTGAACCCAAGTGACAGAACCGACTGAAAGGAGCATTTAAAACAGACCACGAAGAGACAATATTATATCTCTGATGGCATCAAAAACATAAATAATGTGCACAAATAAGGAATAGTTGTATTAATCATACATGGAAACAGAGTTTTATGGGGCCCCCAGAAACTTGACTAGAATTTTTGTAATGGTAAATTTCAGAAAAAACAGGAAAAAATAAATAAGTAAATTTTAATACAGTACAGATAAAAATAAAACTAGTTAAAATTTTAGACATAACAACATTCACACAATCAAATCAATAAAATTGAGTAAAAGATAAAAGAATAAGATAAATCTCACTGTCTTGCTAGGTGTTAAAATCCAAAGAGAAAAGGTGGGTTTTGACCAGAGATTTAGAAACAGTGAGAGAAGAGGCTGAGTGACATGAAGAGGCGGGTCGTTCTGGAGCTTTGGGGCTGCAGCAGAGAAAGCTTGGTTCCCTCTGAGCTTCTGATGTCCATATTTCATCTAAACATCGTCGCTGGAGAAGAAGATGCAGTTTTGCTCATAAAAGAGCTGTGAGACTTTTTTCTTCTTGCTCTGCTCCCCCTATCAGCCACAGGCTCCAAGCCTAGAAGCCCAGATCTCCAGGATGACCAAGGCTAAGTCATGATGGTTGACTTTTCAGAACCAAACTGCTGTAAAACAGACCGTTTGCAACACATTTCTCTGAGTTACAGAACTTGTGACTGGAGGGGAAAGTCTCCTGAAGGAGCCGTTTGCTTGGCGTTAGCCCCCCCCAGTGTTTACTGATGAGTAAAGACAAAGCTAACAGGATGGACCGCATGCTACGCTAAGCTACAGGAATATGTTTTGAGCTGATGTTGAAACTTGGACAACCTTTAATTCATTAAGGGTTTAAACACTGATATAACATTAGTGTTCATGTGTTCCTCAGATGCTCGTTACATTTCAGTTACCAGATTATTACCAGAAGTAATTTAATAAAATCCTCATGTCTATTAGCTGCTAGCTATTTCAAAGACGGTAAAGAACTATATAATTAAAGGTTATTGGTTTCAAATAATTTAATAAAACTTTATTTGGCCAAATAATGTTTTATTCACCTCATGGATTTACATTGTGAATTGGTTTAAAAACATTCAAATTTCTCTAAATTAGTGAAAAGCTAATTTGATCAGATCCCAAATTGTTTAATGTAAATTTAAATCCATTTTAAACAGTAATGTGGTTTTCAACCATGTTTTCCCACTTTCTACCTAATAGCTTAGTGTAGTTGAGTTTCACTAGATTTACTTAAGAGTTTTTATCTTAAATATGTTTGACTTGGAACTGAATGATTTTTGTTAATAAATTCTTATATTTTAAACAGAAGTTGTGGTGAATTTATTCCATGTGCAGAATTAACTGTTTAACCATAATTAGAGCTTGAATCACTCTTTAATTTGCTGTTCTGACACACAGCCAGTAGGGGGCGTGTTCATAGACAATATTAACCTGACTCTGCCAGATGGATTTGCTCCGCATATCCATCTGGAAACCTTCCGTTGAAGTAATTTTGGGAAGGGGCGAAAATACTGGTTAGCTGATTGGCCTATGTTGGTGATAGACGGGCCAAATAAACCAATCAGATCAACGAAGCATATGACGTACTAACAGAGCGACGACGAAGAGGAGCCAATTGATAGATCAAACTCTTGGTGAAACCAGTCGGGAGAAGAGCAAAAACATCTTTTCCTCTGAGAAAAGCCTCCAGAGCAGTGTTTTGCTCTTCTTTCAGTGAAGAAATACTCTGTAATTCTGATAAAACTTGCTCGATAGCCACGCTAACGCTAGTTTCATCGGCTGAAGCCGCCATGTTCTTTAGACTGAACTGTCGCGCTTCTCGTTGCGTCACACCTCAACCCGCCTCAAAGCCAACGCTGATTGGACGTTCGTTTGGTGAACGCCTCCAAATTTTCTTTAACGGAGAGTCTCCAGACTGATCTGCGAGTGAAACCTTGAAAGCTCGCGAGATCAGGATGGTCTCACCAGGCTAAGACAATATATGACAGCCCAAATAATATCTGATTAAATATTAACCACCTCTACCGGATTGGGCAATAAACGTCTTAAAGAATCACAACACATCTATTCATTCATGTATTCATTCATTCTTATTTCATGCATTCATCTATTCTTTGTGTGCTTTCATGAATGAATGCATTATGTGAACTATTCTTTCATGTATGCATTCATTTGTATATTCATGAATAGATTCATTTTTAATGTGTTTATTTATGCATATCCCTGCTTTATATGAACGCATTAACAAATCAGCAGGTCTGTTCCATCCCTGTTTGTTGTGTTTCTCTCAGATAAAAAGCTTTCCCTAAATGCTCCTTCATTACCCACCCAGAGCTGAGGGAGAGGATGAGGACTGCGTTTTATCACTGAAGCGCAGAAGGAGCACCACAGGCTTCAGAACAAATGTGACATGTTGTTGTTTGCAGCTTCTCTCATTGATGTTTCCATTAATTATTCTCTTTGAAACGTTGGGAGCAGCTGCTGACGCATCCTGCAGAACCTCCAGGATCTTCTGCTGCTCTCCGTCTTTAATCCTGAGTAGAGGCTTTTATTTTGTCGGCCCAGGCTACTCTTCCCCCACATTTCCTGCTCTTTCCTTCCTGATATTTGGGTCTTTTTATCTCTTTTGTTACGTGTTGGTTCTAATCTGTATAATCCGGCCTCTGCGGTTTATCAGACTCATCCCTCGCCGGTTCCAGCCGACCTAACAAACCAGCCTCACCTTTTTTTCCATGTGACTTATGAAGACCTCATTCATGTCTCCTAGAGACCATGAACCAGCTTCCACTCAGAGAACAACCTGGAGCTCTAACAGGAACCAGAACTAAACCAGACAAGAGCAGATCTTCCATCAGTTGGTATAAAGGGTTCTGTTTAGAAACCCCTAATCTGGTTCTGTAGGTTCTGCTTGGTTCTTCAGCTTTAATGTCCCTGTTGGGTCCCATTGATCAGCTGTGGTCCTTGGTTTTTCTTTAGGTCTATAAGGTTCTGCCTGGTTCTAACTGTGGTTCCGCTGGCCCTTACCTTCTCAGTGGACTGAGCAGTACCAAAGAAGATGGGAACGAAAGCAAGCCAGACGATGCAGGTGGTGTACATGGTGAAGCCGATGGGCTTTGCCTCGTTGAACGTTTCTGGAACTCCTCGACTCTTCACCGCGTAAACCGTACAGGTTACCTAGCAACAGAGCAGGCATCAGCTGAACAGTGGTTTACATAAATAACAAGACAAACATCTACTGATTTTAGGCAGTAGGATCTCTGTCTCTAAAGGCTTCATCACCATGAGACACGGCGGTGGAACCATCATGCTGAGGTATTTTTCGTCACTGTGATCTGGAAAACCTCCTTTACCTAAGAATAGCTGTGCCGCTAAGGCATTCACCTCTGAGGAACATCATGTTAACATAACGCCTCAGAGCTCTGAAGGAGATTAAAGTCTGATTGGTTGCGCTACCATGAGGACGATGCTGTAGCTGAGGCAGCAGATGATGGACAGGTCCGACATGTCGCACTTCAGGATGCCCCGGGCCAGATCTGGGTTTGGTGGGCGGAGCTCCTCGTAGTCGATAATGGTGTGAGGAGGAACTACACCGAACCAAACAAATACGCCAAGAACCTGCCAGAAACCCAGAAGGTTAAAACACGAAAAGAGCGTCTGCCATTGGTACCTGCTGGTCAGGTGACCTATGTCCACCTACCTGGACAGAAATGAGGATAAATGTGATGACAAGTTGAGAGGTGGGGCTTATGAATTTGGGAGGAGTCACCGACTTCTTGCCCTGTTCAAAGATCCTGTAAATGCGGTTGGTTTTAGTCAACATGGCGGAGTAAGTGATGGCCATGCCAAGGCCCAGCAGGAGGCGCCGGAATGCGCACACCACCGCACCTGGCTCTGCGATCATCAGGAAGGTTATCAGGTAGATCAGAAAGATACCTGGGAGAGAGAGAGAGAGCAGGTCACCCCTACTGATGATGATGTCACATAATACTGATGAAGTCACTCACAATGCTGATGATGTCATATGTGCAGCTGTTGATGTCACACAGTGTCGATGATGTCACTCACAGTGCTGAAGATGCCTTCTATGCTAATGATGTCATCCACATTACTGTTAATCTCAACCTTCGGGAATGATGATGTCATCCACACTGATGATGTCACCCTAGTTGTTAACCAATGAGTTTCTGAACTCACCTGTTAGGAGGACGTAGCTCAGCTCTCTCCCTGACGCCCTGACAATCGGTGTGTCGTTAAAGCGAATAAATGTTATCACCACAGCACTGGTTGCTAGGATACCGAGCATGGCGAGGGAGGCGGGCACTAAAGCCCAGGGAGAGTTCCACTCCAGCTTGATGATGGGCGTCGGACAACAGGCCGTTCTGTTGGGGACGGGGCGCATGTCCTTTGGACAGGTCTCACAGGTGAACTCATCCAGTTGGTACTGGTATCCATCACAGAGCTGCAGGCAGGTCAGAAACATGTCAGGAAAGCACAGATCTGGGTGGGGATGGTGACATCCACCCCTATCTATAATCACTTTTCTATCTTTCAATTGTTCATCTTCTCCAATCCCTGAAAAGTTCGGTTTGGTGAAGATGGAGTGAATGCTTCAGGTACCTCACAGTGCCAGCAGCAGGGAACTCCCTTCACCATCTTCTTCCTCTCTCCGGGCTTACAGGGGAAGCTACAGATGGACTCTGGAACGGTTTTGTCTCCTCCAGACCACTGCATCTCCTCCAGCTGCAGACACACACGGTAAATCAGGAAGCTGAACTCCATCCGCCTGACTCTCTTCATACAGGCGTCGTCTTACATTGAGTCTCAGGTTATTGGTCCATTGGCCGATGACGTGGTAACCGGGGTGGCTGTGGTTGGTCATCTGAAACTGGAAAATGTCGTAGCGTCCAGGAGCATCTCCATTTTCGTTGAACAGAACACTCGTTCCTGCACTTCCTGTTGGAAATAAAGAAACAGATGGTGGTTTTACTGGGGGAACTGGAACAGAGCGTCTACCAGTAAGTTGTTACCTGTCCAGGTGTTTCCATTCAACTTTACAGCTTCTCCTGAGCAGAACTGGACAGCTGGATAAATTCAATCAGTCTTAGACACTCTCTACTTTTAGGACTAGGCTTAAAGTGCTCCTTAAAACGCCATATCCTGTACATGGATGATATCAAGCTGTATGCTAAGAGTGAACCAGACATTGACTCGCTGATCCACACCACCGGGATCTACAGCTGGGACGATGGACTGTCATTCTGACTGGAGAACTGTGGCTGGATGGTGTCAAAGAGAGGGAAGGTAATGCAAATAGAGGAGATCACCATCCCAGAAAACAGAATAGCAAATGTAGAAGGGAGTTACAAGGACCATGGAATACCGCAGGTGTTGCAAGTAGTGAGAAATCAGCTCAATGGTAAGAACAAGGTCCAGGCAATCAACAACTATGCCTTGGCAGTAATCGGATAACCTCCTGGGATAAAAGGTTGGTTGAAGGAGGAAATTCCGGCCATGTTAAACATGGAAGCTACTCAACATGAGTGGTGGATTTCACCCTAAATCTGGTAACCACAGAATATACGGTAAGCGCAGAGAGGGAGGCCTAGTGAGCATCAGAGCCACCATTAAAGATCCAATGCCTAAGCTGCCGATCTCTAGCAGTCTATGGGCAAGGCAGGGTCCCCTCTGGACAAGTCAGCAGTCTGTCACAGGGCAACACAGAGACACACAACCATGCACACACACACACTTAAGGAGATTGTAGAGAAACCAACTAAAACTAAAAGTCATATTTTTGGATTGTGGGAGGGAACTGATGGACCAGAGAGAACCCACACATGCACAGGGAGAACATGCAAACTTCAAACGTGCCGGGAATCGATCCCTTCTTGCTGCAGCGGTACCCACTGTCCCACCAAATGTTTACAACAGATCCAGTTCATACATAGAGCCATAGAATCAGAACAATCCAAACATGAAACCTGATGATAAAATTCCATAGAACCAAGTCAATTTCAGTCCAAAGGAGTCGGGAGTAGTGGCCTAGTGGTAAGAGCTTGGAACCTTGAGGTTGTGAGTTTGAAACCCACTCCCACAGATTGCCACTCTGGCTCTCTGAGCATGCCCTTTAACCCCCTGATTGCTTCCTGGGTGCCGCACAATGGCAGCCTACTGCTTCCCAGGGGGAGGGGTTAAAATGCAGAGTTAAATTTCTCCAATGTGAGATCAATAAAGTTCAATTATTCAATTATTATCATAAAGGAACAAAGTAATTAATTCATAAACTTTGAAGCAATGCATGAATTTTAATAAGGATACGGCGACAGTGGAAAGAAAAAAAAAACATTAGCAGAAGCAGATCTCAACTCAATTAGAGCAGCTTGGCCAGATGGCAGAATGCTATCGATGGACGAATAAAGAGGAACAGTTGGCCGACTGCTGTCAGTCACTGCACCGTTCTGTCTCCAGGCTTCTGTCTGTCCCCCCGACCTGTCCATTGGTCTGTCCTCCTGTCTGTCCGTCTGTCTGCCCCCCATCTGTCTGTCCCCCTCTCTGTCCATTGGTCAGTCCGTCTGTCTGCCCATTGGTTTGTCTGTCTGTCTGCCCCTCATCTGTCCATTGGTTTGTCTGTCTGTCTGCCCCTCATCTGTCCATTGATCTGTTAGTCTGTCTGTCCCCCTGTCTGTCCATTGGTCTGTCCATCTGTCTGTCCCCTCATCTGTCCATTGGTCTGTCCATCCGTCTGCCCCCCGTCCGTCTGTCCTTTTTTTCGTACCATTGAAGTTGACGGCTCTGATGTAGTCCAGAAGCAGGCGTCCCTCCACAGGGTCCATGCTGCTGCAGACCCCGTAGCTGTTGGGACACAGGTCCTGGTGCATATTGTGTAAAGCATAAGCAACGGCGTAGACTGCATCGATCACAAACTGGACCTTTCCTTCCTGCTCGTAGGAGGAGTCCCGGCCAATCCGCTCCCCTCCTGCAAACACGCACTGTAACAGTAAACTGGGTAACACCTGAATCGTTCTACACCCCCACACGCGCCTGTGGTTACCTGTGCATTTCTTCTTGTCTGGGTCCAGTTTCAACCCAGGATGGGTCAGTTTGCACCTGAAGTCGTCCTCCCAGAACTCAGCAAACCAGATGTTCCTGCGGTTGTTCTCCAATGAGCGAGACATGAAGTACTGATCGAAGCCTGTAGAACAGGAACAATTGGTCAGAACCCTCAGAGAATTATACTCCAGGATCCTTCATGTGGTCTGTTTGGTTCTACCGTCAATGGAGGCCCGCTTGGGCAGGATGGTAACAGCTCCCTCTGCAACGTCTTCCAGCTCCGCGATTGGTGAGCTTTTGGCTCCCCAGCTGTCCGACCCAACAAACAGGAAGTGTCCCGTCAGGTTAGCCTGCCTCGCCGCTTCAAGAACACGCCTACCAAAGAGAGGGAGGAGTCAGAGTGCAGTTATGTGTCCAGTCCTGCCCAACCAGAGTTGACCTCCACTGCTTTTTACTTGATGTCGTCCTCGTTGGCAAAGATGATCACTCCTCTGGCGTTACTCGTCTCCATCAGGCGTTTGATGATCTTATCAAACTCCCCAGCAGTCGGCTCCCGAGGAATCTTCACGGACTGAGCAATGCACACCCCACCTGGTAGAGACACAAACAGGTCAGAGACATGGAAGACACAGGTGTTAGAGACAAGTGGAGACAGGCGAGCGTGTCCCTACCAGCCTCTCTGGAGATCTGCATGAAGGCCTCCACTCCACTCTCTCCATAGTTCCCCTCTGAGGCCAGTGTAGAGACGTAGTTCCAGCCCAGAGCTTTGACGATGTCCAGCATGGCCTGAGCCTGGTACGAGTCCGGAGGAACCACCCGCGAGAAGAAGTCGTAGCGGTTGTTGTCGCTGAGCTCCGGAGCCGTAGAGGCGTAGCTCACCTGAGGTATCTGATTTACACAGGGATTCAGAACCAGAACCCAGTGAACTCTTTAGAGTGGAAATGCTGGTGGAGCTGAGGAGACTGGGAACACTCAGACCGATTAATGTTGTATAACAGCTCAGCTCAAAGTGGGTCAGAGCTTCATCACATTAACACACAGAGTGATTAACAGAGTCCTCATTAACAAGCAGCCGTCGTTAGACACCCACCACCTCATCATCATCATCATCGGAGGAGGAGGAAGCTAGAGCTATTGTTAAAAGCCTCACATCTATCAAACGTCCAGATTTATCTACTGGTTTCTACTGTTCTCCACTGGGTTCTTTCTTCATTTCACTCGACGTTCTCCTGATGAGGTTCATCAGGTTGATCTCTGAGCTCTAATGTTGATTCCAGCGGGGAGGAATTGTTCCGTCCCGCTGATGATTCATTGGATTTTAAACCACCTGTCTGTCCATCACCTAACTTTCTCAAACCTACCAGTCTCTCTAACTCGTCTCCCTGTGTGTCTTTTTCCTGTCTCTCCACTCTTGTCTTCCTTCTGTCTCTTTCTGTCTGACCTGTCTGTCTCTCTCATAGCTGTCCCGTCTGTCTTTCTTGTCTCTTATTCTAATCTCTCTGTCTCTCACCTCAAACAGGCGCAGGATGTTGGCCACCATGATGGACACGGAGCTGGCCGACGCTCCGATCACGCCCACCACCTTCTCCGGTTTTCGAATGAGGGGTGGCTCGCCGTTGGAGCAACGAATGTCCGACGTGTCCTTCTGGATCAGCGCCTGAACAAAGGTGAGCGACTGTTCGAGGGCGTAGGTGTCCCTGGAGCAGGTGTCCAAGATCCGGGCCCCCAGCGTGATGTTGGGGAGCAGATCAGGGTCACTGTTGATCTGATCCAGGGCGTACAGCATGGCTTCCATGCGGTGGATCCCCTTCTCTTTCTTCAGCTCACCGCAGTTCACCCCGTGGGGGCCGCGGGAGTGGATGGGGAACAAGCCCCCCAGGGTGATGTCACCAGGTAACTTTATGGAGTGGGGGAGGATGTGCTGGTGGGAGGCCCTCACCTGGACCCCCGGCTCACCGATCCACACCCACAGAGGCAGCAGGAGGCGGGGCCACAGGGCAGAGGGACCATTTAGATAGACGGGGCGAAGGGCGGGGCCTGATGATGTCATCCTGAGGCGATATTCAGCATGGAGCCTTCATGCCTCTATGGACACCTGAGGAGACATTAACCCAGCAGCGGAAACCGTGAGATTCATTTTAACTTTAGTTATTGAACATAAAAGCAGATGATGACATCATGAGTCACATGATGAGGCATGCTTACTGGGTCCTAAAGGGACCAGGTTCATCACCCGGTTCGGAAGTTGGTTTGATCAAAGATTTTTGGGATTTTGTTTTTAGAACTGTTCTGTTAATCAGACATGGAGTCCCCCAAGATTCACCTTTAGGTCCCATCACCGTTACCATGGCAGCACTGACAGCAATCACTCATCTTTCCTCATTAGGGTCCAAGTTATGATTCAGAAAAGGTTCTGATTTTAGAACTGCTCTGTTTGCAGGACCTGATAAAGAATCATGGCAGTTAGATGTTCCTCGCCTCCTGGTTCTGCCCGATTTCTCTGGTGGTTCTGAGGTCAGGGGGGGATTTAGGCAATACTAGGCAGCTGCCTAAGGACCCATAAAACTCTGTTTCTATGTATGGTTAATACAACTATTACTTATTTCTGCTCATTAATTATGTTTTTGATAAAAATCCTTTGGCTAAAATGCCATCAGAACGCTAATAATATTAAGTGTGTCTCAGCCCCCCCCCTTCAGTGTCCACCATATTGGATCAGTCCATTTGCTGCACATGTTCAGAAAGGTCCAAACAGACAGCAGCAAACCATTTGAAA